TATCACTAGAAAAAAATTAATAATTAATTATCTTTCTATTCCATCATTCAATTTCTTCTCTTTTTTTTTGCTTTTATCAAAGTCATTTTATTAAAACATAAATCAATCAAACAACCTCTGTCACGCACACACACAGATCAACTTCTAGATCATACCACATATTCAGTCATTCATTCATTCATTTATTCACTCGCTTGATTTCTTTGTCATTTTTAAATATTTTTTTTAAAAAAAAATTATAAAAATAAAATTAAAAATAGAAAATGAAAAAAACGAGAAAGGATATGTGACCTCTATGGCCTTTAGAAAAAACAAAATATATATATAATTGATGAGAAAAGTGCAAGTTTCAAATCAACTGTTCTGTTCTTTTTACTGTTCAATGTGTACATATATATATCTTGAAGTTGTATCAAATTCTCAAACCTATAAACATTTCTACAATCAAGGTTATCTAACCATAGAACTAGATGTCCTTTCATTCGTTTATTTTATCAAAAATATAAAAAAAAAATATGAAAAATTAGATATCATCTTGACTCATATACACATACTTAAACATCAACACATGTACACATATATATATATATATATATATATATATATCATATATAAATGTGAGTATGTGTGTGTCAGTGCATTGTGTGTGTGTGCGCGGTCAATCAAAATGGTAGCTTGAAATTCGTCTTTATTTTTTCTCTCTCTCATAATAATTTCTTAAACTCACAGTGTACTTTTAAGTGAAAATATTTTCTGGTCATTGATACATTGATACGAAAAATAAATTTTTTTTTTAAAAAAAAAAGCAATTCTATTACCTAATTTATTTTTTATGAATTTTTAGGCAGAAAAAATTAAAAAATTTTTTTTTCGTATTTTATAGTAAAAAAAAGAAAAGATGATCAATTTGATTAGAGAGGATGATGATGACGATGATAATTTTTTTTTCTAAGACAGAAAATAAAAATTATGTTGATGTCAAATAATTTTTGTTTTTTTTTCCAAATGACTTGTTATCATCCAGTTGGCCTAGCTTTCATTTTAACCAGCTGTTCTCTATACAGATGACCTTGAAATAGATATACATACATATATATATTCGCTCTGAAGAGAATGTAACAATGAATAGTAACGACCTGATAGAATTAAAGAGAACTGAACTCAAGTATCGCGTTTTTTATACTATTACTGTATATAAGAGAGATTTGAAAAATGTTGTCGAAGTTAAGAAGAAATAGAAAAGAAATTCTTATAATTTAAATCATGAATTCATTATTGTTAGACCATCCGATTAGAAGCAACATTCGATGACCGTTTCGTCCGGGTATGGGACTCATCAGGGGTGCGGATCCACAACTCCTGATAGTCATAAGATTAGAACCCAGAATCATCAGTCTTATTATTTTTCAACGACTGTTTATGAAACTATAATAATAATAATAATAATAATAATAATAATAATAATGGAGTTCAAGGGATTTTATTTTTTAATCTTACAATCCCTGAGATAAACATGTAAACGACTGCAATTAAACTGTACATTATGAATTAATCATTGTTAGACCACTCTATTAGAAGAAGCACTGAATGTCCGTTTTGTTGTGGCATGGAACTCATCTGCAGAGCACAGCCACGACTCCCGCAAGATTAGAACCTAGAACCTTCAGTTTAAACGACTGTTTAAGAAATCATACTAATAATGGAGTTCAAGAAATTTCATTTCTTAGTAATCTTATAATCACTGAGATAAACAGGTAAACGACTGTAATCAAACTATACATCATAGCGAATACGATATTATTTGAAAGATTTAGACCTTTTGTGATAGTATTCTTCAAAGGTATTAAATGAAGTAGGATTCAGGAAATGCAATTGACTTTCATGAACAATAAAGTGTACCTTCGAAAATAACGGAATTTAAAGACGTATATTTCTTAGTCTTAAAAAATTATACATTTATAAAAACTAAAAGACTTCTTTCAGATGACCAAGAAATTTATAGTCTGAAAAGGGAAGCAAAAATTAGAGTCACATACTCTGTAGAAATGTGCAGACACCGACAAAGTAGTATGTAGCTACATAATATATGGTTCAAATCTATCGCTAACATCATGGGCTAATGTCAAATTTGGTCTGGTAGCCGTCAAGCTATCATCTAGCCTACTCTTATACGATCTATTATCTCATGATGTATGTTTTAGCCACCTCAGTAGATGAAGCAACAATCAATTTACTTTATTCCGTATAACACATCTCCCAGGATAGAGTAGGATGGACATTGTTGGTCAGCGGCTAATTCTCTATTAGGAGTAACAGGAGTAAGTAAGTAAGTAAGTAATCAAGTAAGTATGAGGAGTCTATTATCTTTTCGTTAGTTTACCCCTGTTTATGAAATGATGCATATTTGTACCGCACACACACACACACATACACCTAAATATCAGTATTCTGTATCTGCATATTTTGAAAAAAATATGATTTACACATCATACACTAATAGCCATACACTCATTTTATGATGATGTCATCTCTCATGGATTCCATCAGTAATTGAATATATATTTGCAATTTAAACATTTTGTTTTGAAATCATGAATCGACCAATGTTAGATCACCATGAGAAACCTAGAAGCACTGGACAGCCGTTTCGTCCTGGTATGAGACTTATCAACAGTGCGCAGCCACGATTCTTGATACTCATAACATTTAAACCCAGGACCATCAGGAAGTTTACCAGGAGGTTTATCCGAGTCGTAGTATGAAGTGGTGACCAGTGAAGATTAACCCTGTTTCGGGTGTGAAGCACTGCTCACATCAGACAGTGGATTGGTCGAAGTTAGATATTAACACAGTTAGATGCCGACTTAGTGCTCTAGGGATTGAGCGTTCATGCACGTTCATGACCGAAGGTTTCGGGTTCGAATCATGTGATTAGCGGAAGTCATGGATGCGCACTACTGATGAGTCTCATAACAGGACGAAATGGCCGTCCAGTGCTTCCACGTTTTGTAATAGCAGCCCAACATTGATTGATTCATGATTTTAAAAAAAAAGTAACTCAACAAACACCACAACTCTATCACGCAAATTTAATAACGCAATACATACAGTAGATTGTGTTAAGAATCAGATAAAACTCAATTGTAAAGTGTAAATATAGTCATCTTATATGAATATGTCTATATATTGTGTATTTCTCTCTTTTCCACCTTTCTCATCATCTATCCATCTATGATGTGTGGTCTTCAAGTATAGTTTATTTGTAAGTATCCATCCTTAAGCATAATTAAATGTTAAGTAGCAGAAATTAAAAAAGTGATTCCCTTAATTAATTATTGGTAAGACTATTCCATACTTTTTTTTAAATATACATATATCTATATATAATTACAATTTATAATTAATGCAATCATAACTATACTACTTATAACTTACTTTTCTATACACACACTAAAAACAAACAGAAACATAAGTAAATCTACATTCACACTTCAGTCATATGAGAAGAGTAATTTTTATAATTATGTAGTTTTATGAATAATTTAAACTGATTTTTTTTTCTGATTTCTAATCAAATTTTATTGTGTTTTTGGCGATTATGAAAGGGTCATTTGTGAGAATGGTAAAGTTTACAGATTGTATGTATATATGGAAAATAATGTCAGTGAAACATATATTGTGGTGTGAGCTACTTATGAGTAGTATATGACGTGAGCGTTAACGTAATGTCTGGCAGCAGAAGATGGGGGAAGATCAAAAAAGGAAGAGTGGGAGGAACACAATGGAATATGTATGAAACGCATGAATAGTGACAATGGATTGATGCTGTTTGCAACAGGAACAACAGTCCAGTTCGATATGATGAACTGATATTTTGCAAATGAACGATTTACGATATTTGGTTTTCCGATTTTACTGAATAACTCTGTAATTTTCGTTAAATACAATTCGGTTGTCCTCACCTGTGTTCTCGTTCACTACAATATTACTTTCAAACTACACAATACTGATCAAATTTCAATGGTTTTTTACTGAATATTCAAAAATATGAAAATACAATCAGATCAGTCAGTCCTGTATGCTAATGGAATAGTAAATGAAATGATCCACTTAGGTGAGAAAATAGATTAGGGATTTCAAAAAAAGTTATCAGTTAACAACCAACTTACAGAAAACACATTCAAAAATATTATTATTATAATCGAGTTACTGAAAAAATTTCTGAAATCGAAAGGCCGGTTAAATCACTCAAATCACTAGCTATCGAGTTTGTAGACTTTCTGCGACTGTAACAAGATCTAGTTCAGAGGAATATGAAAGTGGAATGATACATTGTCCAATTTCGGATAAGTAAAAATTTACTAGACAGTACAGTTGAGAAGTGATTGAACAAGTAATTTTTTTAAACCGTAAATTTTATGAATTTTAAGTTTTTTTTCAAAAAAGAAGCAAGTTCAAATTAAATAAGATATCGTGTTTTATCATGAAAGTACGGTTGATAGGATGTGTCAATGTAATCATAGAATGTAGTTCAAAGCCTTGGCTTATTTTTTGTAAAAAGAAATTATCCTAAGATAGTAGTAAACTTTAAGTTTAACAAGTAGTTTGATAAACAAAACAAAAAAATGATCGTTCAAACCAATTCTAGCTTAACAATAAGTTCATAGAGTGTCATCAAACAATTTAAAATCTTATTCAAACTAACAGAATCCCTCTTTAATAAATTCAACCTTTCGACCAATAATTCATACTCTTTGCCCAAGTTATCTACTCGTTGTGTCTTCACACACACACACACAGATGATTAGATCACGATTGATGGAGGCGATGCATTGAAAACGTTCAATATTCAATAAAAAAAAACAATTTAAAAATGTTTTTATCTTTCATTGATACATAAAATAAAAATAAGTAATATATATATATATATATATATATATATATATATATATATATATATATATATATATATATGTATATTTAAATAATGAAAGACTCACCTTGCTGGTTTTGTTTGACCCATTTTACGAACTTTTATAGTACAATATGTAACACGTGGAAAATGTCCCGTACGTTCCCATTCTACACCAGCTGATAAATCTTGTAATAATCTTAAACCAAATACAGTACTATTAAAACCGGTAAAACGTTTCATTAAATAAATTTGTCCAATTGAATTAGCTACAAATAATACACGTACAAATAAAAATAACATAGTTAAACGTGCATTCGGTGTAATTCCACATAGACAACGATTTAATAATGATTTAATACGACGAAATCTTGATTGTGATTCAGCTTGTTCTTCTAATGTTGCTACTAAACATGAGACAGCTTTTAAACGTAATTCACGATCTGGTATAGCAGCTTCCTTGGCTGATTTTAACAATAACGGTAAACGACGTGAACCAACACGCCATAATAAATGTGGTACCCAAGCCATCATAGCTTGACCAGCTAATACAATTGCAACCCATTGATAATAACCAATAAATTTAACTTTTTCGTAATCTACTTGATCTGTTGGTATTTCTTCATTAGGTAATAAAAAATAAGTATTTGATACCCAACATAGATTTTCAGCATATTCTTCCCATGATTTAGTAAATTCTTGTGGTACCCAACATTGAATTGGTTTACCTAGAAGTGAAAGAAAATAATATAAAAGGAAATAGACTTTTAAGAAAAAAAATTTTTTTTTAAAGGGACACATTAATTTTTCATTTAGTCAAAAAAAAAATCAAAAAATCATTGATCACAACGTTATGTAATCGAAATTTCTATGATATTCTATAGGTAGAATGTTAGTTTTCAATAAATTTAAACGTCTATTTACATTTTTTTTTCATCACTACGAGTAGTTATAATTATACTTTTGCAATTAGAGTTATAGAGATTATTACACATTTGAAATCATCAATCAATCAATCATTGTTACTAGACCACCATTAGAAATCTGGAAGCACTGAAAGACGGCCATTTCGTCCTGGTATGGGACTGACTCATTAGCACTGCGCATCCACGACTCCTTCACTCCTTCACAGGATTCGAACTCGGGACCTGGACTACTGGGTCAGCATCCAATGGTGTTCACTATCTAATTCTGATTGATCAAGGGATTTTGCGATGCATCATCCATTTGTCTTTTGTAGTTACTGACTACACCCGATAGGGTTGAACTCTACTGGTCACGTCTTCTCACTTGGACTCCGAGAATTTTTTTTCAGGAAGCTAGTTACTAGTAAGCACAGTTTACGATTTTGTAATAATATTATCACTACTACTATTTAAACTGCTAACACTACTGCTATAATTATGATTACTACTACTACTACTACTACTACTACTACTACTACTACTACTACTACTACTACTACTACTACTACTACTACTACTACTACTACTACTACTACTACTACTACTACTACTACTACTACTACTACTACTACTACTACTACTACTACTACTACTACTCACACTACTACTACTACTACTACTACTACTACTACTACTACTACTACTACTACCACTACTACTACTACTACTACTACTACTACTACTACTACTACTACTACTACTACTACTACTACTACTACTACCACTACTACTACTACTACTACTACTACTACTACTACTACTACTTCCATAATTCCTAGTCTGAAAACGTTTATTATAATAGAGGTTGTTGATTGTAGCGACAGTTCATTGTGTGTGTGTGTGTGCGTCTGGCTAGTTATTTCCATATAAGGGGATCAGTTGTGTAAGTGATCAGTTGTTTCGTTCCAATCTAGATATGTTTTGATCTTGTATGAACATATAGAGCCATATACATTAAATTAAAAATAGAAGTTTGAAATTTTACAGTGTATATCATCACATGTAATCATATGTCGATAAATTAATGACTTCAAAAATAAAATGATTGAAATTTTAGTATGAATTTGTGACTCTTACATTTTAATAATGTTTGAAATAAGATGGATTGTATTAGATGAGAGTAAAATATCATTTCACAAATTGATAACAGTCAAAAGTGTACATCAATAGATAAGTGAAAAATTTATAGCCTCGATGTATTGTGTTAATTTCGGGATAAGAATATCTCAATTTCAATCCTATATAAGGAAGGATCGTGAGTATACAATTCTGAGTAGTAGTCCCTTCATAAGGATTCTAGGTCAAATTATTGAATAGAAGCATTTAATTTTGTGTGTATCGATTTCTTGTGAGTACTAATTTAAAACCATTGATTGCTGAATGGATGTTTTATATTATGATATGATTCCTTAGTGAAACTTATCTACAATCTGAAAATGCTTCAGGTGCTATAATGAGTATTTAACTATTAGTTCAGACATTATTACATCTCAATGCAAATCGTCATAGTCAATCAATTCACAATGAATTACGATAATGAACAAATATGTAAGTATAATATGTCAGTAAGTTAATCGCATAAAATGGGGTTGTGAAGATTGTTAAGTTACAGATTTGAAATCATCAATGAATCATTGTTAGACCACTATTAGTAATCTGGCAGCACTGAAAGACGACTGTTCCATCATGGTATAGGACTGACTCATCAGCAGTGCGTATCCACGACTCTTGCACCTCGCAGGATTCGAACCCATCCCACCAACCCTAAACGAAACAGCCGTCTTTCAGTACTTTCAGATTTCTAATGACAGTTTAACTTTGATCAATTCATGATTCCAAAGTAAATTAAATCATCATCAACATAAATACACACTCTATCAAAATGTACTTTATTAGAAAGTAGAAAAAGAATTGTATTCGAATTGTATTTCATTTTTTTCTTATGTGTGTGTGTGCAATTCAACTATCAATGAAGCATTCATTAAAACAAAACAAAAAAAATTCAAATTCCTTTCTGTGTTTTTTTGTTCAATTTTCAAAATGTAAATCATTGAACTATTGTACTTTTTAGTCATTATTATAGATATTTTAAAGTTTTTTTACTAACTAAACACTTTTCGATTGTTTGTCTTAAATGGTCAATGATGAGTAGTAGTAGTAGTAGTAGTAGTAGTGGTAGTAGTAGTAGGTAGTAATAGTAGTAGTAGAAAGAGTTTCTTTTCTAGTTCTCTCTCTCTGTGTGTGTTTTATTACACTTCGTATTCATCATCTTGCGTGTGTGTGTGTGTGTACGTTTATGCACGTATATAAGTAAGTAGGTGCATTCACTAGCACACATAGACATTCATTTTCATTGTGATTATCATCTGCGAACAATTTGGTTTATTTTTACATCATTATAACAAATCGTTTCTGTGTGTGTATGTGTGTGTGTATTTCTTCTACTCCTTTTTCTTTTCCTCCTTGAATTCTTCGTTACACTTTTTTTTTTCGTAGTTCTGTGAATTTTTTTCTTTTATTATTATTATTCCTCTTTCACTTCGTTCTTTCTTTCTTAACTTAAAGTGTTTGTTATTTTTTTGTGTTATTTTTTTTATATTGTTAAATGTTTCAATATCAATTTGAAACATTGAAGGTACAACTATAAAATTTTTTTTTATTGAAGTTCAAAAAATTTAACTTTTAGTGAAATTTGAATTGTTAAAAAAAAAAGAAAGAATGAGAAATGAAAAAAAAATAAATAAAACTTTAATTAAATTTTTTTCTGTTTTTGAAAATATCTATCTATCTATCTATCTATCTATCTATATGGATGCTTTTATTTATTGTTTGAAAAAGGTGTGTATCTTAGAAGTAAAAAAATAAAAAAAGAAGTGAGGTTATTTATTGTATAATTTTTTTTTAAATTGATCAGTAAAGAATTGTGAAAAGTGTTAAGTTTTGCTGGAATTATGTACTGATCAATGTTCAATCATTATTAGAAACTTGAAAATTCTGGATGGTTGTTTCGTCACAGTATGAAACTCATTAGCAGTGCTGAGCCATGAAGTCTTTAGGTTAGGCGTTCTCATGTGAGTTCTATGGCTCTCAGCTCAGCCTCAACTTGGATGATGGTAGACCTGTACTGCTGATTAGTTCTATACAAGGACGAACTATATATATATCAAGTAGTTCCTGTTTTCTAATGGTGATCTAACAATGATCGATTCATGATTCCTATTCAATAAAATCTATTGGTTCGGAATTCTATTTACCTTTAAACATGGATATATTCAAGTACACTTTATAGATAGATAGAAAGATAGATAGATAGATAGATAGATAGATAGATAGATAGATAGATAGATAGATAGATAGATAGATAGATAGATAGATAGATAGATAGATAGATAGATAGATAGATAGATAGATAGATAGATAGATAGATAGATAGATAGATAGATAGATAGATAGATAGATATCTGTTTGTGTTAATGAACTCAAAAATTCACCTCAAAGATTAGTAATAAGTCAAACTCAAATGTCATGAATAATAAGACTTTTTATCCGATTAAATATTACTAGTCAAACTGATAATAACTACTGTAACATTAGAGGATAACAATTGTTATTATGCCAAAAATTGTTCTTCTTTTTTTTAACAAATGCATAATAATGAATCCGAATAAAGTAAATTACACATTTGACCTTCAAAGACTTGAAACTGTCCTTGAGAAAAAATAAAAATCCAATTTTAAGTCATTCTGATTGTACTTGATATGAAGGAATAATTTAAAATAGGGAAACACATTAAAAAACTAAGTGTTTAAGCTAGGGCTTTTATCTTCCAGAAGATGTGTTAGACTTAGAACGTGGAGTTATGAGTAGAATAAAACATTGGCAGTTGGAAGTATTAGGAAGTTGAGTAGATGAATACTTCATGGTTCCCAAATGGTTGAATACTTATGTAGTAGTTAACTTTATAATTTTTCCCTTTTCAATAGCTCTTAATTTATCTTTAAAACCTTACAAATCATCGTTTCACTTTTCTAGTCTTCCTAATTTTATCAATTTTATATCAACTTAGTAAATAAACATCAATTTGAAAACTCGGTTGAAAAAAAACTAATAACAAATGTCTATATTTTTGTTAGTATGTGTTTAAATACAAGACAGGAAGTGGAAAAGACAACAACAAATAAATTTACTTATTTTTTCAATAATAATTATAGGTTGTTAGATAGATACATTGAAATTACAATGTAATTTAAGATTGATTTTTTAAACAAGATTTTTTTTCCTACTTATTAGTTGGGTTAATTTTTTTTATGGGATAAAGTAGCTAATCCCATAGCAAACCATTCTAATTTACACATTTGAAATCATTAATCAATCATCATTGTTAGACCACCATTAGAAACCTGGAAGCACTGGACGGCCGTTTCGTCCTAGTATGGGACTCCTCAGCAGTGCGCATCCACGACTCCTGCTCCTCGCAGGATTCGAACCCGGGACCTTTGGCATTGTAGGCGAACGCCTTACCATCTGACTTTGGGACAGGCAGTGTGACCATAAAAGAGCCCTCAACAGTATCACTAAGCAAGTCCTAAATTCGAACCTTCGAAGCCAAAAGCAGAGGTACAGCAAAGAACACACTGCACCAAGAATTGGAAACAGATATGAAAAGAATGAATAGTTATTGGGAAGAACTAGAAAAGGGAACAGGCCCAGGACAGTAGGTTGTTACAAAATGTTGTGTCAGTGGCCTAAGTAAGTGTGAATAA